GAGAGGAAAGTTCTTGAAGGAGTTGCAAAACTTAGTTTCTAACCTATTATATGTACCTAGCCAGAATCCTTGGAAGCACAAAAATTCGAGACACAATTATTTAATGTTTGTTCTCGCTCAGAAGCGAGCATTCACAATAGCATTTATAGGGGTCACGGAACAAACGCACAAAAGTGGACAATACCAACATATTTTGGGCTGGAGCGGTGGAAGAGGAACTTTGAACCTTCCTCATTTCCTGCATCAAATATTCTACTTACCACTGATGGGCAGAAGTAGGAATCCTCAGAAAACACCACGTTCGAAAAGTTGTACGTTGGTCCAGCCAATAGTCTATTCCATAACCATTTTGCAGCGTACGTGTGGCCTTTCCTTTAGAAACAAACTTAGATACAGTACTACTTTATATCAACACTTTGCAGCAAATTGTCTACACCTGTTTAACAGAGGCTTTCCCGGGACGAGAAGAGATTCGGGTTCTCTTGAGTGTATCGGAAGTCGAGCAATGGCTAACACTCCAAAGGTTGCATACTTCAAGCTGTTAAATTCATTCTGGAATAAGAAAATAGGATGCCGTAAGAAAACCTTCATAACTTTTTGTTTTACAAGCATAAAGCAAACTGTGAACAATGAAGGGAAGGTTTAGGGAGTATGAAATGGGAAAGTAAGTTTCGCACTTCTTCTATAACTTTACATTCTTTGTGGCACAACCGTACTTTGGCAGTATGCAGATCGTAATGTGCACTACAACTGCGCACAAACTGTTCGGTTTTTGAACATGACATAAAAAACTATACCTATTTTTCGAAAACTATTGAGTTTAGGAGTTACAAGCAAAAAAGGAGCGGGTCGCAACCTAGATCATGCACTACGGTCCAAAATTGTATTCGGATTGTTGCTAAAGGCTGACGTATTTAGCTCAGCAAAAAAGAAGCAGAGTTGAAGACAAGTGATTAAAAATTACCTGAACCTGCACAAATACTTTCCTCCATTCGTGAACGAGTGACCGATACTTGGTCATAGAGATTGTTTCCAAACAACGGCAACGCGATCTGCAATAAAACTATCGTAGGCTGATTAAAAAATGTTGTTCCGAGCGCTTGGACTGCATGTAAGGATGATTTTTTATCCCTTGGACAATCATTCTTCCCGAGTTTTTCGCGTGCCGCACCGTGCCAGCGTCGCTCTCTGCCGTGCCAGCACCGTGCCGATGGCCAAGCATTGATAAACTGGTTTATACTCACTTGAGAACGTTTATGTTAGTGCGTCGTGACGATGCTACGTGCACAGGACCTAGCAGTACCACGAAAAGCTTCGGTATCGCCTTGCGGAGGATACCCATCGCACGTCGTATGGATGAATGG